ATATATATATATATATATATATATATATATATATATATATATATATGTATATATACATATATATATTTATTTATTTATTTATATATTTATATATTTATACATTTATATATTTATATATTTATATATATGCTGCAAGTCGTTGAAGGTGCCTTATATACCCAAAAACTTTTCTTGTGTGGCCTCTGCAGGAACACGAGAGAGAAGGAAGGCGACGCAGACTGTGAGGGTATGCATGTTCTTGTTTTATGTTTGTTTCTGTTGTTTTATAAAATATAAAAGTGAAAAAGAAATGAAAAAGCAAGAGATACGCCCCCTTATATGAATAAAGTTTATGAACTGAACGCCGCAGAAAATACAGCTTTCCGCTGGTTACCGTTGGGGTGTATGCGCAGCTCAAGCGATCGGCAACAGAAAGCAGAAAGAAAGCTGTTTTATTTTCATCTTTCTCGCGAAATTTATCGTCGTAATGACTTTCTTTTTAATTTATTCATTTATTTTCTTTTTTTTTCAATGAAAATCAGGGGGTTTTATGCAGAGATCGGAGGTGTGGCTCTAGACTGCTTTATTTGTTGAACTCACAAAAGGTGAGAGTGCATACAGCCATTTCTATTTAAATTTCAGCTTTCTTAGCTCAATATTATTTCATTAAAAGTTTATTTTCGGTGATTTTGACGAAGAAAAAACAAAAAAAAATAAACTTTTTGTGGAATTGTTATCTGCTGCAACGACACCTCAAGAAAACTTCTCCCTCATCCCGTTGTTTGCACTGCTCAAGGTGCACTTGCATACGGTGTATATATATATATATATATATATATATATATATATATATATATATATATATATATATATATATATATCAACAATCATCTCCACAGGTCTTGTACATACGAATATAGAGGCTAAAAAACAATCAATCGGCTGAAACCTGCTCTAAACCTGATGAAAAAAAACAAAAAAATTTATTTTTATTTTTTTTAGCGAAGCTGCGAAGAATTTCGTGTTCTCTGCAGGCGGAGGCAAACAGCCTCGATGTGCAAATTCAGCTGAAAGCGAGCGAAATTTTTCTTGAATATCCGTTGTTTATGGGGTTTATAAATATTATTTCCAGTAATATATAAATAAATATGTAAATTTTAATAAATAAATAAATTTAAATAAATAAAAAAGTATTTATACAGGTCGTTTGTTATGTTGAACTTCTCCTCGGTGAGGTCTTGGCGGGTGACGCGGGTTTTGCAAAATCGCTTCGGCGCCGCGGAGCGGAGAAGTTTGTGTGTCTGTCGGCTCAGTAAGTAAAAAAAAAAGAAAAAAAAGAATAAAATTTAATTTATTTTTGTTTAATTCAACTAATTACAATAAAATATTCATAAACTTCATCAGACGACGCCGGTCTGGTTCCCCCCAACCCGCTGGCGTCATCTCGAGGCCAATGCACGCGCGCTAGCGCCCTATCGAGTCTTTGCTGTAATATCTTTTTTTTTTTGTTTTTTTAATATTTTTTTGTATTTATAAATCAAAAGGGTTCTTCTTATTCACTCATTTCCCTCTTCTTTCAGCTCGCCGCAGGGCCTCCTTCGCTGACGCATGCAGGGGCCCCCCTATCCTAGACAGCACTGGCAGCGTGTAGCTGCAACACTAGCCTAACACAGCAGCAGTAACAGCAGCAACTGCAGCAGCAACTGCCGCAGCAACTGCAGCAGCAGCAGCTGCTGCTGCTGCTGCTGCTGAAACGCAACCGCCGCCGCTTCAGCTTCGATAGACGACCCAACTCCCCTGCTCACAAAGGCCTGCAGGCCTTGCTGCTTAGAAATTCTTGCAACACCACAAGCAGCAGCAACAGCAGCAGCAGCAGCAGCAGCAGCAGCAGCATGCAGCGGCATCATGGGGCCCCCAGACACCGAACTGACGATCATTCTAACGGACACCGAAGACGACGCGACGCCCAACTACCCCTTGCAGCAGCAGCAGCAGCAGAAGCAACAGCAGCAGCAGCAGCAACAGCAGCAGCAGCAGCAGCAGGGTCAACACGGATTTCCGTTGCATGAAGAATCTTCATCTATTCGTCGCTGTCGCCGTTCAGTGCCGCTTGTAGATTCAGACGACGCAGCAGAGGGGCCCCCCGCTGCTCTCAGTGGCATTCGGGGGGCCCAGGGGGGCCCCCAGCCAGCAGCAGCAGCAGCTGCAGCAGCACCAGCAGCAGCAGCAGCAGCTGCTGCTGCTGCTGCGTCGCAAACTGAAGGTCCCTCTACTACCCCTGTGCGGCGTCGCTCTGCGCGTCTGGCAAGACACTCAACTTCAGGTGTATGTACACCTGCTGCTGCTGCTGCTGCTGCTGCTGCTGCTGCTGCTGCTGCTGAGGCGGAGGAGACAGCAACGATCCCGTCTACGCCAGGGGCTGTTCGCACCCCACAAAGACCTGCACGCAACGCTGCTGCTGCTGTAGCTTCTAGGCTGCCTCTGTTCTCCAGGGGCCCTCCTGCTGCTGCTGCTGCTGCTGCTGCTGCTGCTGCTGCAGCTCAGTTCAGCTCCGGCAGCAATTCGAGTTCTTTAAGCTTCGCCCCAAGAAAGCGGTTGCGGCGGAGCGCCACGGGGCCCCCTCCAGCAGCCGACGCAGCTCCCGCTGCAGCAGCAGCAGCAGTAGCAGCAGTAGCAGCAGTAGCAGCACAGCAGCAGCAACAGCAGCAGCAGCAGC